GGAACGGCTGCAGACCCTCTGGGCGGTCACCAGCGGCTGGGCCTCGAGGACGACATTGTGGATCCCTCCAACGAGCTGATCAAGGAGGGACCCATCCAAAAAATCTCCACCCGCAACAACAGCACCTCGGAGAAGTACCTGTTCCTGGTGGGAACTGGGATGCCTGAGGGGAAGGGGCAGGGAGCAGATAGGATGGGAATGGGGAGAGGGTCAGCTCAGCCCGGCCGGGGTGTTGCTGGATCATCTCTACATAGAGGGGATGAACTCAGAGCTGAGGGGTTTCACTCCTGGCAGTGCAGGATGTGGTTGGGAAACTGCTGATCCCCCGGGCACGGCAGCCCTTGGGGGATGTCACAGTCCCAGAGCACTTTGCTTTTGCCTGGTAAGAGAGGGCTGGGGCAGAAGCAATCACTTCTTAGGTTGGATTCTTCCCAAGGATCAGCTCAGCCCCAGGGGGAAGGTGAAGGACCCAGCTCTGAACAGGCAGGTGCTGGGCTCTAACCAACTTCTCCTCCTCCTCCTCCTCCCTGCCCAGTTCAACAACATGTTGCTGTACTGCGTGCCCAGGGTCATCCAGGTGGGCGCTGAGTTCCAGGTCCATCTCTGCATCGATGTGGACAGCATGAAGGTCAGACACGCACCTTGTCTTTGTGCTTCCACCCAACCCTGGCTCCTCCAAAATGCACCCTGCTCTGGGGTGTAATGTGGCTGCTGCTCCACGCTGCCTCGGAAAGGAGGGAGGAGCTGGAGCCAGGAGTGGCTTTGTGGGTGAGGAGGTCTGGTTGATACACTCTGATCCTGTGAAATAGCAGTGAAATCATGTGCACGTAGGATTTGAGGGACCAAAGGGCTCATGGCTGAGGGAAGTCCCTGTCCCCTGCATCACAGAGGAAGGTCCCTGTGTGCTGGAGGTGGGTTCAGCTGCTCCACATCCTTTCTTTGGTCTCTCTCAGGTGTGGGAGCTGAATGACACGCAGTTCCCTCACACCTTCCTGGTCTCAGGAAAGCAGCGGACGCTGGAGCTGCGAGCCAGGTAAGGGGAAGGGTGACGGTCCTGCAGCCCCTCAAGGAGAAGGGACAATGGCTTATCCATCTCCCTTTTTGTACCCAGGTCTGGGGAGGAGATGAACACCTGGATCAAGGTACCACTGAGCACTGGGAGAAGTGGCACATCTCACTCACCCCAGCTGGGTGCCGTGCCAGCCCTGCCTTCCCTTCTAGGCCTTCCAAGATGCTGTTGACAGGAGGGAGAAGAGGAGTGAGACCTTTAAGACAGCAGTACATGGGCTGGAGATGGACACCCCTGTGCTGAAGGTAACCCCCCTGTCCTCCCCATGCCTTGCCTGCCTCCAGCACCCCCCAGCACAGCAGCTCAGGAGAGTCACCTTGCTGTGCCTCAGTTTCCCTAGCTAAACAGAGCTGAGGGAGAAGGGGTGAGAGTAGAGGGGCTGGGACCACCCAGATCACAGCTAGCCAGCCCCAGCCATGCCATCTTCCACCCTCAGACAGAGGAGCTGGGCCGCCGAGCCCCGCAGTGGGTGCGGGACAACCTGGTGACCATGTGCATGTGCTGCAAGGAGCCCTTCACCGCCATCACGCACCGGAGACACCATCGTCGGGCTTGTGGCTGCGTGAGTCACCCCGTCCCCCCTGTCTTCTCTGTCCTGGCCTGCTCAGGTGGCTGCTGGGGCAGGAGCGCACCTCTCCTACACCTTGTACCCCTTTCCTCCTTGCTCAGAGCTGCTGCCCCTCATTTCCTCATGGAGCTGACCCTGGGATCTCCCAGCCCTGCCCCAGTCTCACCAGTGTCCCTGGCTGGTGGTTGTAGGTGGTGTGTGCTCGCTGCTCTGACTACAGGGCTGAGCTGCAGTACGATGGGAACCGCCTGAACCGCGTGTGCCAGGAGTGTTACAGCTTCCTGACGGGCCATGTGGTGCTGGAAGACCGGG